CCTGCTGTATTTTTACAGGATATGAGAAGCCAGACGATGTTTCAGAGAAAACTTCTTTAGCTGATCAAGAGGAACTGAGAACTATATTCATCAATCAGCCCCAGTTTACCAAATTCTGCAATAATCATGTCAGGTATTAACTTCAATGTTAGTAGTTACTTAATTTCAGGGTGACTAAGAGAGCAATTCTGCTGCTTTTACAGATCTTACCTTCAAGATTTTTAAGAAAGGAGTGGAGAAGGTCTAGGTAAGAAATTAGAGGGAACTGCAGTCAGAAAAGTGTCCTCTTCACAACTACAGCATCAGCATATCCCTAGGTCCCATAGAGTTTGGATTTTTTTCTTGAGCTGTCAGTTCAGTTGATGTTCAGTTCATCTTTGAATGTATTTTTGAGAGCACAAAATGTATTTTACTTGGGCATGGCATTGCTTATGCTTTAGAAAATCTGCCCCTTTTTCAGTTAACCAGCTACAAGGATACTGTTGTTGCTTATGGAACTATTCTTGAATTTCCATTGCGGGCTTTAGCCATTGTCGTGTATTATGTATTTTTCTTCTATTGGATTTTAAGTAATATACTGAATACTCATGAGTATGGCGTATTTAGATCTGGTAATGACCTTCAGTTAAGCTATTAAAATTAAGTGAATAGCAAAGATACCCCTATTCTACCTAGATGTGTTTTATGAAAATATCTTTTATACATGCAGATATTTTACATGCTGTAAGAATAAAATCATTTTCCATAAGCTGGAGATACTTTATAATATTTTTTGTTTGTATACCCAACTATTACCCTTACTGTACCCTTAGCATTCTGAAAATGCTAAGCTAACTGCACAATATAATAATTCCTTGTTTGAATTGCCCATTTTATGCTACATTAAAGGGAATGCTATTAACTCTAAAAAGAGGTTAACCTATTCTTGTTAGCATCTGCCTGTCAGTTTTGAGCATTAGTATTGTTTTAGGATGATAAATGGTGGCAGTCTGTTCTTAAACAAATATAATACTGACATAGAGCCAGGAGTCTGCCTGTTTTGTGTGTGTGGTTTAGCTTAGGGTTATCGCAGTAAGGATAAACTGTTTTCTACTCTTCCAGCCTAGCAAAGTTACAAGGAATATCAAGTGAATTATCAGTTAGAAGAAAACCAAACTTTCATTTCAGTGATGGGTACAGTTTTTCATATCTTACTAACATTTTGTAATTTTTAATTATTGCTTATATGCTGTATTTAAAGTCAATTGATCTGTTTGGTAGAATTTTTAACCTTGAGGATGCATTGAATCAGACAAATTCATAGCCACCTTTTTTGGTGCAAAGTGGTGTCTGTAAAAATCTTTAAACTACTGTTTTAGGCAAAGTTAGTCTGGCAGCTAGACTAGATCTCAGTGAAGGCTCTGGTTTATTTCTTAGCTTGTATAACTGAGAAGGAAAGGATATAGTTGAGGAGTTTCCAGTACTATGCTAAGGGTTCATGTTTTTGTCTTTCTTTCTCAGCACTGCAAAGTACAACATAATAACATTCCTGCCAAGATTCCTTTATTCCCAATTCAGAAGAGCTGCTAATGCATTTTTTCTTTTTATTGCGTTACTTCAGGTAAGATCAACAATAAAATATTAGCGTGTAAAGATATTTATGCAGCAGACGGTGATGCTGCCTTTCAGCAGATACTGAAATTGATATAGTTGTTCTGAGCTAGATAACCTTGCAAAGGGCAAGGCAAGAATTATTCTTGGGGATACTTGTTTTATGGAAACAAGGGGTTCCTGAACCTACTGCAGGAGGTATTTCCTGTTTGGATGCTAGATATCTGCACTGATTGGAAAGAAAGCATCCTGGCTTTCATATAGCATCCCCTTGTCTTCATTCAGGAGGAGTTTGTAAAGATCTCTGTGAAGAATTGTCCCTGACCCAAGCTTATTGAGACTTTTTTGAAGTACATGACTCTTTTCAGATATACTAGAATATTTTAATTTCATGATAGTTGGCTGATAAAATTAGGATGGATTGTGCTTTTTGTGTAATACTTTTGTATATGGCTGATGATGAAAAACTGTACTGTGGGAAGGGACAAAGATAATTACCATTGGCTTGTTCTGCATTCCAATAATAGCAATAATTCCAATAGTAGCAATTTTGCAAAAAAGTCATTTTTATGCATATTTTACAATATTTTTGTTGTTGTTGTTGTGGGAATCGTTGTGTTGGGAATTGATGTAAGGGTATAAATAAATAAATAAATGCACTACCCTGTATACATTTTCCTTTTCTCAGTACAGATGTTTCAGACAAGTGAATGTTGATTCCTGTGTAAACGCTCCAGTGCCTTTCCTGGGAAAGGATGAGTGCTTGGAAAAATTTCTTAGAATGCAACTGTGCAGAGTGCTTGCACTTTCTTTCCTAGGAATCTGTAGACAATATACAGATAATTGTGAATGATGAGGCATTGGTGTTATGTCATACCAGTAACTGTCTCTTCCCAACATTTGCCTGTACACAGGCATTTGCTTGCATGCCTGCACTTACTTATGAAAAATGTATTTCTTCTGATAATCTAGCAGAAAGTGGTTAATTGGGATTTGTTGATTAACAACTAGTACAAAATAAGTGTTATAAATTAAAACTGTGAAGAACTAAAAATGCTTTTGACTTGTGCCTACTCTGATAAAATTTTATAAACTGAAAAAAGCCCCTCTGTATTTCATAAATACATATTTGATTTGAAACAATGAAAAAGAAGGTGAACCTTCTGCAGATACTACAACCTCTGAAAGTTTCTGAAACTTTCTCAAACCTCTAAAATTTCAGAGTGCTATTTAACATTTAGCTTTTCGTTAATGTAGCATCTTCTTTTCATTCTAGCACAATGACCCTCACTTGAAATAATCAGCGCCCTGTACAAGGTCTGCTTCTTGTAATAAAAACACTTTCTTGCTAGGAATGTAAACAAAACTTTTCTCTTTCCTTCTTTTTAACAGCAAATTCCAGATGTATCACCAACAGGTCGTTACACAACATTGGTTCCTCTCTTATTTATTTTAGCTGTAGCTGCAGTCAAAGAGATAATAGAGGATATTGTAAGTATTTAATAGAAATATTTTGTAAATAATGATCACATTTGGATGGATTATACTGCAGATTTATTTTTAATAAATGTGTATGAAGCCACTCTTGGCTTCTGGATGTTGTTGAAAGCTTCTAAAACTACTGAGGATAAAAATCTTAAGAATTATGCTTATGGTATTATACTTTGAAAGTGCTTATTATATCTAAAAGCGATAATCACTGTTTTACCATGGAGTTAATGTTTGTTATAGCAAGTAATATTTTTTTAATTAACTAATTGTAACAGTTATTAACAAAGTACAAGCATATTGGAGGTAAAGTGTGATTTGTGACTAAAAATAGAAGGTTCTACTGACTCCAAAGAGCCCAGTCAAATGCAAAGTGTTGCCTGCTTTCTCATCAAGGGCTCTGATAAAAGAAGATTGGAATTTACTGAATTCATCTCAGGTGGAATCTACTTTAAAACTAAGTAACGTTTTAAAAATTATCTGATGGGATAAGTTGTTTTTTCTTCCTTCCTGAGCAGAGTCCTTTATTCTCACTAATAACATCTGTGAGCTGAATTTAACTTCAACCTCTGAATGATATACTGAAACTTTAACATTTTACAGATTTTTTCCTTTATTTCTATTTTTTTTAGTGTTTCTCATGCTATGGTCATGCCAAAATAGTGTGTAAACAAGACTCATATTTTGCCCACTATAATTTAGCTGCTGGGGGAGCAAGCAGTAGTTCTCCCTAGCAATGACAGGAGCTTCATTTTCTTGACAAGAATCTTCTTAGCACCTCAGGTGCAATCGCTGTTAGCGTTTACCACAAACCAGCAGCAGAGTGAGCTTCTGCTCACCTTGCAGTATCCAAGTAGAGTTTCTTTCTTTCATGGAGCAAAGGCAGAACTTAGAAATGCTGGACTGTAGAATAAACCTGCTCAGGAAGAAAGGGATTTCTTATTGCTAGATATTTTGTTTAAGCTAGTATTTTTTAAAACTTTTTGTAACCAAAATGAGTTTGGTTATGCCTTGAAAATGCCAATTTTTTTTGAACTATTAAAAGTCTTTTAACGGCCATGTGAAAACTCAGAGCCACCATAGCCTTTTTGGTTTTAGGCTGGGGATTTTACTGTTTTGTTTTGTTTTTCCAGAAGTGCGTAGGGCATTTGCGTGAAAGTTGCCCTATGTTAATTCGGTAATCATTACTTGGTTTCTGATCTAAACCTAATGCTTGTTCTGATGCTTGTTTGAAGAATGAAGGATTTTTATTTTATGCATTTTATTTCTAGAATCGCATTCCAGTTGTTGTAGAGGACAGGGTTATGATACATAAATAATAATATGGTACATAAGTAGAGCACTTCTGTATTTAAAGAAGCTTGACTACAGAGTGATTGCCCACATGGGAGGATATTTTAGTGTTATGCATGGAACTTAGCATGGAACTAGGAGTGATTTTTCCTGATGATTATGATTATGCAAGTAATCTATAGTTCTGTTAAAATGTTTTAAAATCAATCTGCTGAATTCATGAGTGGGAGGAAGTAATAAATGTATTGTTTATCTTAAATGTGAAAGCTTTTTTGTGTTAACAGGCGTCATTAACCACTATGCATTTTTAATTCAGAAAAGACATAAAGCTGATAATGCAGTGAACAAGAAACAAACTCAAGGTAGGATTTTTTTTAACGTCTCTTAACTGCAGTTTGAGGACTATTGTCGTGGTATTTCGGTTAGGTTATTTTCTCTTCTCTCTCTCTCTTTTTTTTTTTTTTTTTGCAAATGGTGGTAATGTGACTGAGTATACAGGTAATTGCGCTGAAAACTGCAGTTGTAAATTACTTTAAAAATTTTGAACCTACGCATTTAAAATGATAATTTGAAGCCATTTTGCAATCATAGAACAATATATGATCTACAAAAAATCTGGAAGGTTCCTAAGAAATTTTTAACTCATTTAACACAAGTGATATAACCATGTTATGATGAAAACTCTATGAATTTGTAAGTTCACAAAGCCCGTCCACCCCCGTATTTGAAATATTTCAGTTTTGGAAAATGTTGGAACTGGAAGCAAAAAGCCATAAAATTGATTTTTTTTTTCCCCCACACTGCTGCCAAACAGTGTCTAAAAAATGAATGTGGGTAATGCAGGTGCTACTAGCTAATATGTTCTGTAATGACGAAGACACTTTCAAGGTAGAAAGTTCAAGTTAAATTCCCACTCTGCTGCTCTTGAACTCCTTGTGTTAGCTGTTCTGACGTAACTCTTTCTTGATATGTCTGGTCTGGTTGTTTTAACAGAGAATGACTAAGTTTCCTGTTATTTTGATGTTGACATATTTTAAGCTTTTCACAGAAGCGAATTTTACAGCTAGGTGTGGAATCTTGTTTATATAGTAGAAAGCAAAACATATTCTTATGTTTTTAGGGAGCACTCACTGGCTTAAGATGTTGTATAATCAGAATTGCCTAACACTGTTAGCTATTAGAATCTTCCATTATTTCAAACTCTAAATTTTAAAGATATATAAATTGTCCTACATAAGTTGCCCATAAATCTTAAATTAACTAGTTGCTCAATGAGAGATATGGAAGGAATAGGGTAGTGGCACAAGACACCTGATTTTGATGAATATGTTGACTGAAAACACTGGTAGTTTCCTAGTTTCTAATTGGTTACACCATAAAGCATCTGAGCATCCCTTCTAGGTTGGACATTTTTAGCAGATGTTTTAGGTAGTGATAGGAGAGATGTTTAGGAATGTTATGCAGAGAACAGGACTAGAGAAACAGATATTCTCATAGCTGTACATAAAAACAAAGAAAAGTTTAATGTAGTTTCTACATTCTTTCATCAGGCATTC